GCCTGTGGGCAACAGCTCCCTGACTTACCCCAATGGCAGAGAGAATAACCGTCGTTAGGAGCTCGGCCAGCTTCTGGCCCTCAAAGTCCTGCAGGAAGAAAAGCGGGCGACTGTTAGTCAAGTGTCACGAGGCCCAGCCGGTCTGCTAGAGCTTGAAGGTGGCGGTCGGGTTCAGCTCGGGAATTATGACGAACAATCTGGCCATCAACCAGGTCTCGAGCCTGGTCGAGGAGTTCTTCGGCCATGGCTGCGGTCTCGGGTGCTGTCGAGTGCTCTGATTGATGACGGCAGGCTGGGCGGTTATCGAGCTCAACGTGTCCGGAGGTGTAATCGTGCTGGTTGCTTCGTATCGTGGTCGTGCTGTCTGTCGGATGGTGTAGGCGGCGCTCGGTATGGCAAGCTGGTTGCAACTACGCGGTCTTGAGACGTGGACTCAAAGGGCTCCGAAAGTGGGGGCCACTGTGGAGGATAGGTGGGTCACCTCTCACGACAGACTTCAGGGGACCTGACAAAGAAGCTATCACTCCAGACTGGGCAGTCTGGAGTGCATGTCAGGTGGCTAGCTCACGGTACGTCGCAATATGCAGCTGCTCGTACTTGTGATCAGACAGACACCACATCCGTTTTTCATTTGCCCGTATTACCTCCTCTTGGCGAGCGTCATTCTTACTGCAACAACGACAGGGAGGTGCTCACACAGCCCGGACGACTTCCGAGGCTTGGCTCTCGTGGCCCCAGGCAAGGATAGACACGGGCTGTCGTCATGGGACTCGCGACCGCGATTGGTGATGGAGGAAGACCTCCGTTTTGCCCACGGAGATGGAGCGCCAGATGGAGGCATTGAGCGACGATAGATGATGTCGTCTTTGTTCGTCGGTTGCATGGCCGTGCCTATCTATCTGCCTGTACTTGATGTTGGTCCGCCAGGGCATTGACGAGTCCGACTGGGTCTAGGTCCAGAACTCTTATGAGGCGAGAGTTGGGATGGCCAACCCGCGAGGTTCTTTCCCCCCCCCGTGGTCAATCGCCTAGCGTTGAGTTGTTTAGTTCGACTCAATGCTGAAGGTGGGTTCAGCCTGGTCCCGAACAGAATACTGTGGCGCTACCCTGCGTCCTGGCATCCTTCAACTCCCTAACACGTAATCTCGTGCCGTTCACTCGATAGGGAGACCATGCGTCTTGAGTATTCGATCGTCCCGTGGAGAGAATCAAGCAACGGGCGGTAGCCTGCATCCTCGGGATGAGCCTTGCCCAGGTGGAAGAATGAGTTTCCGGTTGTCAATGCCAGGAAGAGAGCACGGATCGGATAGATAACCAGAGCCCAGCCCATCGAGCTTGGGTTGCCCTTGTCCGGCGATTCTTGGCGTGGTCTGTCCCTCGCGCTCGGATGACCAGAGTCGGCATATCCGCTCGCATCTTGAAGTGGCCCCCAGCGAGCAAGACCTCCCCGCGAGGTTGGAAGACTTATCATGCCCCGTAGGTTGCGTACACTTATCAAGCATGCTGTCCAAAGACCAGTAAGTCACGAGTTAGGAATGGGGAACTGCCAAACCGGAAAACAAGAAGGAAAAAAGCGCATGCTGAAATGCACCTGCCGCGCGGTCTTGTTGTTGAAAGGCCGCTGGGCAGCGGTCCAGACGCCCCAAGAGGTGGATCGCGAGCTGCAGCTTGGCGCTCAGACCAATGACGCTGCGCGCAATAGAAGCGGGCGTGCCATTGCCCGTCGGGAAGTGCCCAGCAGCCCTTGCAGGCCCCGGCCAGGGCTGCAGACTTTTCTGCGCTTTGGGGGCGAAAGCCCCGACTGCGCTGATTCAGAGCCGGCTCCACCACCTTGGCTCCCATGCCAAAACAGACCAGAGCCGCCCTCCCTCCAGATCGTCCCCGTTCTCGTCCTCCCGCCTAACCACCAGCAAACAAAGACTTCACGTCGCACCTCGCCCAAGCACGATCCCGGAAACATCCACACTCTGCTCTGAGCACACGCATCGAACCACGCCGAGAAACATAGTACAGCCTTCGTCGACCTCGTCAGATTTCGCCGGGCTCCGCACCATCGCCAGTCCTTCCACCTATCTTGCTTTACTCAAGACAAGTGACCTCATCCAAGAGCGTCTCGAGTCGACAGCATCGTCTCCTCAAAACCACTCTCGACACCCTCGGGAGACCACCAGCAACCCGCGGCACCACCGCAGACCCCTTCAATACCACCAAGTTGGCGGGCATCAACGCTCTCCGGTTCTCCTTCACCCGCCCGCTTCTCGGGCCTCGTTTCGGGGTCTACAGCGGCATCAACAAGAAGCCCCCTTAATTTGACCGGCCTCGTCTACCATTTTGGATACTTCACAGATTTACGGCCTCTCCCCTCCTTGGTGTTTGCCACACCTTGCCTTGCATAGCCTGCAAGCATAACTATCGTCATCCTCTTGGATAAGAGCCACAAGCCCTCGTTCTCCGCAGTCGGCGTGCTGCTTCACCCGCTGCGAGCGCGCTCTCGTGTTTCACCGCCGAGAGACCAGAATGCAAACCTCTCCTTGAGTTCCGCCAGCCTCTTCCCAGGCCTTCGCTCCGAAGGTTCCCAACTACGCCGAGTCAAGTCACAGCACCCAACATCGCACAGCCTCCTGTGCTTATTAGCTGCAGCGCTTCTGTAACTGTCAAGCGCAACGAGCGTCTCTCGCACAGTTGAATAAGCAGACACCATGTCCGACCACGACGACACAGGTTCCGAGATGGGTTACAAGACCCCCATCCCCGAGCTCGACGACCACCGCCACGCAGGGCAGCAGACGCCTGCCGTGGTCGTTCGCTCCCCTGAGCAGCACCGTCCTCGTCGAGGCACAGTCGATACCCTTTACGGGTCTCGCCAGCACGTTGGACGAGAGGCCGCTGCGCAGTCTCCGGAGATCATCGTCAGAGATTTCGAGCAGGCAATCGCTGATGGAGAGGATGACACCCACCTGTCTCCCATGGCACACACGCGCCGCCCTACTTTCACGTCCGAGCATCGAGACGTCTCACCGCCGAACTCGGTCAAGGCTTTTGCTGAGGCCAGGCGCCGCGAGCGAGCATTCTCCGTGGTCGACAAGGACGACTCTGACGAGGAGGAACGCGGTCTCCACCGGACTCACTCCAACGTGAGTCGCAACAGCCACCGCACGGGCCGCAGCAGGCCGGCCACTTACAGGACGAATGATGCTGCGAGCATCGCTACTGCCAACACAGCCGAGGAAGATGTGTGCTTTCCACAGGAGCAGCGGGGTCAGGACAAGCTCTACATCGACTTCGAATACCTCGAGACTTTCATCGCCGCCGAGGCTTCCGACAGGCGTGCAAGCCTCGACGCCCGTCGTGCTCAGAAGGAGGAGCGCGTCTTCGATGCCCGGCCCTCCTCGTCGGTGCCCGCTGCGCCCGTGTTCACCAACGATGGTGACTTTGTCAGCGGTGCACAGTCTGCCTCTGATGTCGACGAGAAGCCAGTCAAGCAGGATTCCGATGTCGCGAGTGCCATTTTCAGGGAGCAGGACCCTAACAGGTTCAGCTTCTTCTCTTCGGCCTGGGAGTCGACCATCCATGCTTCGGAGCTGGGCGACCTCATCCTGCCCGGCGAGGATCTGCGCGGTCTATTCAGCTTTCCAGCAAATGAGCCTGATGGAGTCTGGTGGCTCAACGTTAATAGCCCGACCGAGGAGGAGATTCGCACTATCTGCAGGGCTTTTGGCGTGCATCCTCTCACCGTCGAGGATATCACCAACGAGGAACCACGCGAGAAGATTGAGCTCTTCCCGACGTACTACTTCGCTTCATTCCGCTCGTTCAGCATGGTTCATGATCCTGATGGAACCCTTGACTACGACCCTTTCAACATCTACGTGCTCGTGTTCCGCGAGGGCACCCTGAGCTTCAGCTTTCACCCCAATGCCCACGCGTCGCATGTTCGCAAGCGCATCACCATGCTGAAGGACTATGTCTCGCTGAGCAGCGACTGGATCTCCTACGCACTGATGTATGTATCGGAAACTCTCCACTTGCATTCTACTCTGACTAATCCATACCTGATGCAGTGACGACATCGTGGACTCTTTCGCGAAGCCGATCGAGAAGATCGAGAATGAGACCGAGGGGATTGAGGACTCCGTCTTCGTAGCACGCCCTGAGGACATGCACCAATTCCTCCGCCGGATCGGCGCCGTGCGGAAGAACGTTCTTGGCCTCATGCGTGTACTTGGTGGCAAGGCCGATGTCCTTCGAGGCTTCACTAAGCGATGCAACGAGAACTACAAGATCACTCCGCGGATGGACATCGGCATGTACCTTGGCGATATCCAGGATCATGTCGTCACGATGATGACCAACTTGACTCATTTTGAGAAGATTCTCTCGCGGTCGCATGCCAACTACTTGGCTCAGCTCACGATCGACAGCATCACCGAGGGCACAAAGACGAATGTCGGACTCGCCAAGATCACATTCCTTGCGTCCATCATCGTCCCGCTCAACGTTGTCACTGGTCTTTTCGGCATGAATGTACACGTTCCCTTCCAGGAGTTGGAGGACTCGCTCATCCCCTTCTTCACCATTCTGGGTGGCCTGATCACGTTCTGTATCGTTGGGCTCCTCATCGCTAAGAAGTTGAAGCTGATCTGAGCTTCACACGACTAGCTTCGAGGTCTCTGACCTTGCTTGAGTGCGCGCCTGGCTAGATTTTCTTTTTCACAGTAGCTCATTGAACATATTTGCTTGTCAGTAGTAAATAAATAAAAACAAAAAAACACTGCAACACATGTTTCAAACTCCTGGGTGATTATACTCCTTGTCCTCTTGTTGATAAGAAAATTCTGTACCGTGTAGACAAGTTCCTTGATACAGTGGAGGTTCCAAGAAGAAGGAAAAGATCAAAACGTGGGGAAAACGAACCAAAGACAAGAAAAGCCCCCCCCTCCCAACCAAAAAACAGGTGGTGCGATGATATCCCATCTTGGAATGGGATGCATCGGGAATTGAGCCCGATGCGGGGGTCGAACCCGCAACCTTGAGATTATGCTGATCCTGTACGTCTCTGATCCGACGAGGGCGTGGAGACAAGAGAGAGGAGGGCATGTTTCTGCTGTTTGTAAGAGTCTCACGCTCTACCGATTGAGCTAACCGGGCAACTGATGACTAATTTGATGGAGTTGGGGCTGGCTTAAGATGGGTTGTGTCTCGTAGGTTGTGGAAGGGGAGAGGAGAGAAGGGCCGAGAGAATGGGGTCGGTGTGGGTTTGGCTTGGGTCTGGGTGGGTTGAGGGGATCGCGAGATGGAGACAGGAAGGGGCGTTGTGGTGGTGGTGGTGGTGGTGGTGGTAGTGGTGATTTCTGCGAGCTGGTGTGGGAGGCGGCGTTTGCGGGTGGGCGTAGAAGACGACACTCTGTTCCGGCACGGGGTTCAAAGTCACTGAATAAATGAAGTTGATTGATATGGGTGATAGAGACAAGCAGTCAGAGAATAGAGCGGCCCGAGTTGTCGAATACTCTCCGATGTTTAAGGCTCGGTAGTGCTCTGTACATCAAGGGAGCCAGACCTAGACAGGTCTGGGCGGAGTCGTGAGTGAACATCCAAGGTCAAGAGTCACAGTAGACTCAGGTACAAGTATGTCAAATTTGGAACCCAGTTGGTCGAGATCCAGACCAGTCTTCTCATCAAGACAGCTCTTCTTGTTGGAGTTGACGAGACCCGACTCTCCAACTCCTTCGAAATGTGGTCGTTGAGGAATGCGGCTGGGATGTGGCTGCAGAGCGCGAGTGACAAGTGGAGGTGTGGCTGGAGCTCCCTCGCTCCCCTCCTCGTGAAGCTAGGGTGGAGCTCCCCGAGCCGCCTTGCCAAGCCCCTGCTGTCGCTGTTACGCAGCTTTCGGGAGCCTTGTGCCTGCCGTGGGCCACTCCAGCTCCGTTGCTCAACCCAAGCAATCGACGACATCGGATTCCTAGACCTACAGCTCCGCAACTCTCACGGGAATACACCCAAAGCCCCTTGAGCAGCAACAGAGCCACCAGACACAGCTGCACATCACACACGCACATTGCAACCATGGCGTCAGGCTACGATAGAGCGCTTTCAGGTACGTGCTGCTCAGCAGCCACCCCGCCATCATCACCACCGTGACGTCTGCTAACCTGCCTTGCCGTGTCCAGTCTTCAGGTTCGCGCTCCTCAGTCCCGACCCGACAACACCCCGCTAACGCTCCCAAATAGTCCCGACGGACATGTCTTCCAGGTCGAATACGCTGGAGAGGCTGTCAAGCGAGGTACGCACGACCTTCGCCCTCTACCGGCCCGTCACCGCACCACCAACCCCAGCTTACACCCCTACGTACAGGAACCTGCGCCGTCGGAGTCAAGGGCAAGGACCTCGTCGTGCTCGGCTGCGAGAAGAAGTCGGCGATGAAGCTGCAGGACACCCGCATCACACCTTCCAAGATCGGCCTCGTCGACACGCACGTCTGCCTGGCGTTTGCCGGCCTCAACGCCGACGCCCGCATCCTGATCGACAAGGCGCGCCTCGAGGCCCAGTCGCACCGCCTGACGGTCGAGGACCCCGTCTCCATCGAGTACATCACGAAATACGTCGCCGGTGTGCAGCAGCGTTACACGCAGAGCGGCGGCGTGCGGCCGTTCGGCATCAGCACGCTGATTGTGGGCTTCGACAAGGGCAGCGACGTGCCTAGACTATACCAGACAGAGCCCAGTGGCATCTACTCGGCGTGGTATGTAAGACGGAGCACCAGGTTATGCGGCGGGCCGATATACTGACTGAGCTGTTACCACCACACAGGAAAGCGAATGCCATTGGCCGGTCCAGCAAGACGGTACGGGAGTTCCTGGAGAGAAATTACAAGGACGACGCGAACCGCGAGGACACCATCCGCCTCGCCATCAAGTCTCTGCTGGAGGTGGTGCAGACTGGTGCCAAGAACATCGAGATCGCCATCATGGCGCCCGGTAAGCTCATCGAGATGCTGCCGGTCGAGGACATTGAGAACTACGTCAAGAACATTGAGCAGGAGAAGCAAGAGGAGGCTGCCAAGAAGAAGACAGGCCGGACACCAGGCACCGGCAGTGCCGCGATCCGGCCGCGGGAAGGCGATGATGCGTAGACGGGATGAAGCGTTCATGACAAACAGCAGCATTATTTGCGAGGCTTACCGTGGCAGGTCGTTGCCGTTACAAAATAGACTCGCGAAGAACTCAAGATATGAGACATGAGATCTGCGACCGCAGATAGTGAAGAATGTCTTGGAGCGTTTGTTGTTGTTGGCCTCATATTTTCGTCTACGCCGTGGTATCATATCAAACTTTGGCTGCTATCGTTCCTTATCTCAAAGCACACCGGGATGGCAATATGGCCGGCCTGGGTAAAGACGGCGTGGCGTGCCGTGAGCACGGCAGAGCCATGCATCCACGCCCGTCTCGACAGAGTTCTGGCAGACTGCTGCACTCTTCTCCGGAAGAATACCTTCTCCATGGCAGCCATGCAAGCACGGGCACGGGAAGTGCATCCACGCCGCCGCCAAGGTCCTCTTGTATCTGACAAGCCCCCCCCCCCCCCGGTCTATTCCATCCGCACCGTCGGCAGCACCATCCATCGATCGCCTGCTCCTCAGCCCAGCTTGTCCGCCTCAAAGTCCGGGTCGAATACGGTCGGCCTGCCGGACTTCCTGCCGTTGGTGCCCGGGTCGACCCTGTCGTCACGGAGCATGCGGCTGTCGACGCGGGCGTCCTCGGCCTCGACGGTGAGCGCGGGCTTTGGGATCAGCGCCTCGAGCACAAAGTGGTTGTCGCAGTGCGGGCAGTACTCGTCGGCCTCCTCGAACTCGCGCGCGTCCTTGCGGAAGCACTTCTTGCACTTCTTGCACGCAAAGACCATCTCGAGCGACTTGAGCAGCTCGTGGTTCGGCTCCTGGTCCGCGTGGCAGTCGGCGCAGTCGAACCACTTCTTGCAGCAGGGCGAGCGGATCGAGACTTGCGCATTGAGCACGTGTTTGCTGTGCGGGAAGGGGAAACGCCGTTGTTAGCTAGCTGTGATGTGTATCCTGGGCTGCGTTGGGTGGTTCGGTGCGGTGCTGCGTGTGGGAGGTCTGGCAAGGACAGGGCAGGGCAGGGCAGGGCAGGGCAAGGTATATCTGCTGTGGCCGTGGCGCTTCCAGTGAGCGTCCAAAAACTTACCACATGGTAGTCAGGAGGCCGAAGGGTAGCGAGACCCTTTCTACTCTTCCTCCTTTGGGACAGGGGACTTTCTGGCGGGCTCGGATGGTTGTCGTCGGTGAAGGGAACTTTCCGGCGGTCGGTCCCCGCTGGTCTGCAGTATATCGTGGGCGATTTTCTATTGTGTTGTTGTATGGAGTGCGGCCGGCGGATGGGGTCTCGAGGGTGTAGGTCGTGAAGTCGTTCCCCGTGCGGAGTGTGCGTGCGGTTGTGTGTGTGTGTGTGTGTGTGTGAAGTTGGATCAAGAAGTGCGGCGGCTGCTTTGTCCCGCGCGCGCTGCGGGATCGCGGAATGAAGTTTAAGTGGTCCCCCTTCCCCCTCCGCTCCGCTCTTCCAGGGGTCCAGGGGGGGAGGGGCGCTTCGAGGGATGTACCCATCCATGCCGGCCTTAACTTCACCACACGTGCAAGAGCACAGCGTGAACCTTTTGAGTCTGAAAAGGTTGTGGTGAGAGCGAGGAGATACAAGGCACTGAAAGGGAGGTATTCAGTCGGGAGGCAAGGCATTCCTCCTCCTGCAATCAGAGTTTCTGAGCATCCCGCATGTGTATACAACATCCCTTTCCCGCTAGATGATTGAATCACCGAGGACTTTTATTATTTCCGAAACAACAGCAATCACGATCATGAATAATTTTCTATTAGAGGAGAGGGTAGGGGGGGGGGTATCATGAGCTGACTCCCGAGTCTCTCTTTTCTTGTCATTCTCGGGTGTATCCAATCAACAGTCTGACAATCTGCCCTTTCCTCTCCTAATCCCAAAAGTTACCATCCTCCACAGTTTTGGGACCCCTCATGGGATCATCTACAGTCAGGGCAGCTAGCACAGTTGCCTCCAGGCCAAGATGGGTTTCTTTTGGTCTTGGAGGAGTTTTTTGGGGTTTTTTTCGTTTCGAAGGGGGGGTGGCTTGGCTTGATGTGTTATGATTTGTTCTTGCTCGAGGCTCTTGTTTGCCCGCTCCTGCGCGAGAAAGTGACCCCCCTCAGAAGCCAAGTATGTACTTGTTGTCCAGACGCCCGCCACTGTAGACTGCGTTGAGACATGGCCCTCGCCGATGGGACTAGTGGGCGTATTTGAGGCGTTCCAGGCGGCGCTTCCGCTCGGCTCGGTCTCTGCTCAAGTTCTCGAGTCTCTGTCGTTTCTGGGCTCTCGCGTCGCTGGCCGGCTTTGTCGCCGGGGCGGGCGTCTGACTCTCGGCGGTGCTGCTGCTGCTGGCAGGACTGCTAGGTGTCGCCTCCTCTCCCTTGTCGGTGTTGCCGGCGTCTTTCTTGGGGGCGGCCGAGGGGGTGGCTGCAGGCGTCATGTGCTGATTGCTCTGGCTGGCCGGTGCATGTGGTCTGTTACGGTAGCGCGGCTGGAGAAGTCTGAAGTTGTCACCAGTCGTGCGGATGTTCGTGGGAGTCTTGGGGATCGGAGTTGTCGGTCTGCCGCGAGGGCGTGGATTGCCTGACACTGGTTTCCTGGTGCCGCTGGTTGTTCTGGGAGTGCACGGTGTTTGCGGCGGCGTGAAGAGCCGGGAGTTGATGTCCCGCCGGCGGGCGTCCCAGTCGGTGGGCTCACGAGTGTTGGCCTGGGACCCGACATCCCCGATCTTCCAGACGTCTCTGCTGGTAAACGCTGTGTGCTTGTGCTGATCGTCGTCCATGGGGTTGGGAGCCGACGCGGCTGGCATGATAGAGGTCTTCTCCCTGTTGCGGACGATCTTCGTGATGGCCAAGTTGCCCGCGCTGGTCTTGGTGATGCTGGTCGTCCCCATATCCATCCGGATAGCACCCTTGATCCGTCTGACCGTCTGGTACGTGACGGGTTGCGGACGGGGGACTTGAGAACGCTGGGTGGTGGTGGTCGAGATCGGAGGCGGCCGAGGACGAGCAGCTTCCTCGGCAAGGATCGCCGAGGCTGTCACTGACA